GGCGGAAAGTTTTGGTTACTGGTTGAAGAGTTTTGTTTATTTCGCTACAGTTGAACTTATTTTTTCAGGTGAAGAAATTTTGGAGCTTTATTCCTTGCAGTGGAATTCATGTCAAGGTAGGAAAATTGTTAGAATTTTGCTGTGACCCGAATTCCTTGTTGAAATAATTGTAGAGTTCTAATTGAGGTGCACATAAAGATGAATTCTAATTGAAATGCTATTGTGGAATTCTATTCAAAATTTAATTGTCAAATTCTAGCTAAAGTTCTGTGTGGAAGCCTTATTGGGATTTGAGTGTTGGACTTGAAGAGATCAAAATAAGGAAACTTTTGATATTTTATTTCATGCATAACAATACTTGTAGAGAATGGATTGTTCCCTATAAATACCAGACTTTTTTCATAAATTTGTGAAGCCAAAAAGCATTATTGTTTAGGTATTTGTACTCTCTCTGTGGTTGTTATTAATAAAATACCGTTCCTCTGTCAGGTTCTTCTTTTTGTTCTTTATTTTAAATCTTGTTTTTGTGATTGTAATCTTATATACTTCATAATGCTCCATAAATTTCAAGACGATTTTCCATATCAACTGATGGTTAATTGCTATTCCGCCTCCAACAAGTTAGATATCATAGTAAAAAAACTGATTAAGCATTAAATCATTATCATATAAGAAGAAAACACAACAAATTTCAACAAATTTCCCAAATCAAATATGGAAATTGGTTAATTCGGAACCTACAAAATAGTGGGAAAAAAAATAGCTTATCCCTAAAATTAATTGAAATCTTAGAGGCAAAGATCAAATTTTCGGGGGGGAAAAAATGGAACACAATGAAAAATTAAGGTGTTTAAGAAAAATAAAATCGAACATGCTTTAGAAGTGAAACTCAACCCTTGTAACTTGTTGATGGAAGAACACTATTAGCCTAAGAATTAGAATGTGTTGTCAAGAACAAGATAGAGAAATTTGGAAAAAAAAAATCTTGTTGATGGATAATAGTCAGTGAAGAGAAGAGGAGAGAAGAGAAGCGACGAATCAATTTAAATTGAAAATATATCTAAACCGACTTAAATCGAGAGCGAGTCACGGGATCTTTCTAAACTGGCCGGTCCGACGGGTTTCTAACGGGATTTTAACTAAATGCTTTATGAAAAAATTACCTAAACACCTACAACTCAAGTGTTAATTATGAATTACTAATTTAATTATTACAAGTTTATTATGAAAAATATCTAATAAAACTTTTGCACCCATCCCAAGATTATAATCTATATAACTCCACTACTTCCTCCTCAAACATCCCCACCCACCCACGTAGTTATAGAGATCTCTTCTCCGGCAACACCGCACTGCATTGCACCAAATCTCTTTGACGCTACATGATAAATGCGATTTACACACTTATTTTGATCAGAAAACACGGATAATTGTTGATGAATATGTTAAAATATGGTTTAATTCTATATAAATTATGTTTTGTAGGACAACATTGATGAATGTGGTGAAATCTAGGAAAAACAAGTGCAAAAGGACCAAATTGTATAGAACAAAAGTTTAGAGACCAAAGTGCAAATAGTCGAAAGATGACCTGGAAGTAGAAACGAAGACATGAAAGACTCAAGGACCAATTTAGTAAAGATATGAGTATTGGAAGAAGAAAAAAATGAGAAAAGAGGTCAAGAAACAAGAAAATAGAGTTCGGGGACCAAAATGCAAAGATTGAATTTTTACTTGAACTATGCTATAGCATAGTTATTTCTTCAATGTGGTCACATGCTGATTTTTAGCAATGTTTAGGGCTGATTTCCGTTGAACTATGCTATAGCATTGATTTGTACTATGCTATAACATGGTACAAATCCGACAGGAAAAATCAAGTTTCTTTATTTGATTAAAATTCTTAAAAAAACCAATCTTGGGACATCTTTGGAAGCCATAGGGACGTCCCTAAGGTGTTAGGACACATTTCAACATATTGCTAAGAGTTTAGAGCATAGAAGGAGGCAAGAAACGCGAAGATCAACTCGAAGACGCAAAGATTCAATTCAAGAATTAATCAGATGATGTCGTTTCTTCAATATTCCTTTTGTTTTCTTATTTCCACCATACTAGGCTAAATTTATATGTACTAGGAGAGCAATAGACCATATGATATGATCTTTTAATATTTAGTTTTACATTCTTGACATTAAAATACGTTTTTGAAATTTGAATGGTTTATATGAATTTATTTTCTCCACAATTATTTGCACGTGATAATGTAAATTTGGTGTCTTGTTTCATGCATTTAAAAGAAGGAAAATATACTCGACATAGTATAAATCATTGTAGGTTTCAATAAAGGATAGAAATATACCACTACGCTCTATATGAATCTTAAGTATCCTTAAAAATTCATGCATTCTTGTGTATTCGCATCCATCATAGAAATATAGTTGGGTCGTATATAAGAATAGGTTCAATATTACTCAACAGAGATTGTTGAATAAAATAGAAACATTGACTCATCAAAATTCAACCGTATTGTCAAAGTGTAAAACTAAGGGCTTGTTTGAGCCTCATTATTTAGAAAAAAATGCATTATTTTACAGTATTTTAACATTATTTCAACCACACATTCTTCAATAAAATAATATTACACGTAAATCCAAAATTCTCCTTATTTTTTAACCACACATTTCCCATCAATTCAATATTCAAAAATTCATTTTTCCTTCAAAATGGGGCTCAAACAAGGGCTAAATTTAAAAGAGATTATTACATGGGAATTCGTAATCCTAGTACATTTGTCATTCTTTACATACATCAATTTTCATTTAGCATAATTTACCTTTAAATTAGTTAATTCATTCATAATTGCATACGTAGCTTATTTTGGTTATAAGTTCATCACGATAAACACACTTTATTACTCTTGTTTCAGTTAAGGTTGCGATAATAAAAATTGAACTAAATCAATTTTTGAGAGGTGATACTTGGACTTACATCCACTTTTTTACTTGTTAATGAACCGTACACTTACGATAGTTTTAAATCGAAATAATATTTTCGCAAACACTGCACTCCAAAATGGCAAATTATCATCTACTTGCTTATTATTGCTATCAAAGTTGGTACTCAACAGGTTAGTGCTAAATTAGATCTAGTTCGAAAAACTAGATTTCAGATATTAGACGTGGACAACATAGCGTTGGGATGGTGGGAGTTAGTCGGAGGTGGGATTGATGGGTTGAGGCAGGAGGAGTAGGTGGAAAAACTGGTCTAGGTATATTGGAAGGTGATATTGATAGTGAATATATTGGTGGTGGAGAGGTAGCTCGAGGACTTGGGCTTGCAGCTGGCGGAGGAATTGGGTTTAAAGCGTGACTCGTGAATCATGATGGCAACTGCGTAGGTAAGGTGGTTGGAGGTGATCGACATACGCAGTAGTTTTTGGGGGGGAATGGATAGAAGCAAAAGGAGAGGTAATCGAAATGGATGACGATTGCGTAGGTAAGGAGAAGGGAAAGCGGATGGATAGAAGGTGGAGGGAGGAAGCAACAGTATGGGCAACGGCCAGCTGGTGCTGAATGTACGTTGCTTCTTTCATCAGAAGATGGGAAAACGTGGTTCATGGTCTGTGATGTGTAGTGGTCTTGGTGTTTAGTCATATCACTTTAATTTGAGGTGGTGGCCGACTTGGGTATTATCGACAATGGTAGTGTTTCACCTGTAACATATCAATTAGGTAGTGTAGAAGTAGAGGTGGAGGTGGCCCTAGTATTTGTTGATTGAAGGTGTTAGGTGTAGATGCAAATGGTGGTGTGATGGGTTGGAGGTGGAGATTATATGTTAAATATGATCCTCTATGACCAAGTCTATCCATAGCGATTGTTTGTGGCTAGATCCATCTTAATTGTGATTATATGTGACAAAATTAACAATAACTGTCACAGTTTAAACCTAGTCACAGACAGCCACAATGAAAAGAAATTTGGTCGCAATTAATAACAATAGATAACACAAGTTTGATCTCAAACAACGTATCACTATTGCCACCACGCACTAGTGAGCGCATGAGCAGAAAGAGAGAGACGGTGTATGTAAAGAGAGAGAGAGAGTTTATGTACAGAGAGAAAATTCATCTTTGGAAAGAGAGAGCATGGTTTTGAGAGTGTGTGTTGTGGCAAAAAATATTCTTTTAACTAGAGTTAGGGGTTCAAGAGAGAAAATATACCGCAGTGAGGAGCTACAATTGTATATTATTTATTATTATACATTTATTAATTTCAATTACCATCCAATTTATGAAAGTATTTTGTAAGATTGTTAGTTGTGAATTGTTAATTTCTATAGTGTAGTACTTGTGTGTTGTTCCCAAGTTTTATAAGCATTATTGGACCAGCTTTAGCCTGGTTCCCGATTGAACCGATTAGTCCGATCCAATTTTTTAAATATTGATTTTACTAATATTTTTTTCCCTTCTAAAAGAAGCTTCTCAAGCAATCTTAATCTTGAATAATTACTCTTAACAAAATAAAGAAAATATCCCAAATATGGTATGTGCATTATAAAAATTCCGGGATAGGTTGAGTTTGATTTGAATACAACTTTAGATGCATATTTTGATAATGATCTAAATTGAAAAGAAAAAAGTTGTAAGTAAAAGGTTCCTTAATCCAACGCTCAATATCTTATGAATCTCCAGTGGCTATAACACACTCTCTCATGATCTTAATGAAATACGTATTGAAAGTTGGAATGACTTAAATTAAAAGTCACGATAATTTGTTAAATAAGTGTATCAAATTTATGAGTAGGAGAAATGATCTCGCATATATATATATAGTTATTATTTTATACTACACCGACCCAAGTCAAGACTGAAGAATTCAAGCAAGTTCTTTAATTAATAGAACATTCATCTAGGTAGAGTAAATAGCTATGAAATCCGTCCCCAGGTCGTGGCATTATTCCTCAATCCTCCACTCCACTCCACTCCCACAATTGCTCCATCCCCATATACGGCATCCATCCTTTCCTGCCCCTCTCTGTTTCATCCTTCCAGTCCCTTTTCCCCAAACTAATTACACCTTTTCCTGCCTCCATTATTGCATTAGCCGTGATCTCCTGAAGTTCCGAATAGCAACTACTTGCAACCTCCTCAGAGCTCCAATGCTCCGGAGAAACAAGGGAAAGGAGGTACTGGGCAGGGAAGGTCATTTTTTGGTAGGGCTACAATTGACCTTTCGGTTTGAGGGGAAAAGAAAGAAAGAAAGAGGCTTTAATCTTCAACGTACCTGGTACAAAGACTAGTTTTAAGAGGCAGAAATAACAGATAGTGACATATTATCACATTAAAAGACGGCCTTCCGTGAAATTTCCCTCAGAGTAATTCCATTCAGAAGAATAATTTATTTAGATAGAGATACATTATATTTGACATAATACATCATCAGTCCATTCTATGCCTATTTTATGTTTTCCTGATTGCTTAACACGAAACAGCTCTTAGAATTGAAGAAAATCGAAATGCAAACACAACTGCACACCTCAAGCCAGGATTAGCATTTGCGTAGCAGTCCAAGATTGATTAGGTTCAAGCTGAACTTGTCCGATCTGAAGCGTTCATGGAAAAATAAAAAGAAAAAAAATATATTATATACTCGAAAGAAGATAGCACAAGTATGACTCATTTGGTAACTTGGATTTTTATAGTCCTGGACTAAACATGTACTCTTAAAGTACAAGATCAAAGTAATATAGCATTTGAATTGCCAGATCATAAAGAAACTAGCATGCAAAGCAAACACACAAAAGTTTGCATTATTCCGAGATAGTGAGATTGTCTAAATGAATTTTCATGTCATAGCTTGAAAAGGTACATGCAGCATCCAGATAGAGGTTTATGAATTATAAGAGACTAGAGTATTAGGTTAGCAATGAAGAAGTCAGTGAATACGAAAATAAGAGCTCTCATACCTTGGCATTTTCGACGCATACAAAATCTTTGTAGCATGCTTCCATACTCAGATGTGGATTCCACAGAACAGCATCAGACCAACTGCATTAGATGGATGAAAAACAAGCAAAAGAAATGAATAAATCTAGGGAAAAGGAAATAAACATACAAAAATTATACAAGGTTTCAATTTACTTTGTGTTCTTGATGGTAATTTTATCACCCAAACCATTATTGAGTTGTAATTCTTCAGGGGCATCAAGGTAAACGCAATCTACAAATCCAGGAAATGTGACGACGTCCCTGCCTCGTGAAAATGAAGGTTAGAAGTACAATTAAAGTAGACATATAGATCTTAGAACAGTAAACATAGGTGTTGGTATTGGGGGTCAAATTCACAATTACATGTTGATTTAATACAACAAAGAAATTATAATAAGAATAAGAACAGTAGATTAGTTATTTATTCAGACTTGGTAAATGTCAAAGTTAGATAATGTTCCAGCTTATGCGAAAAAATAATGCACTGATGTTTAACTTTCTCATACCATGTAGCATAATTTATCCACTCAATGCATGCCACTTGAAAATTGAAATCGTTGAACAATACAATGATTTAGATTTTAACTTCTTTTTCTTTCTTTAGAGCAGTCAAGTCATGTAGAATTCTCTTTAAAAAAACATGCCATCAATGTATAAGCAATTGTATTAATCCAAATTTCAAGCAAAAATAACTAATTTTAGTTTGTGTGTGTGTGTGTGTGTGTGTGTGTTCGAGTTGTATGGTATTCAAACTGACCTTTCCTCCTTACCCTCCACTGGGTTTTTAGGATCAGGATCTTTGTTCAATGTTTTACAACCTTTCAAGCCTGTAACAGATGCCCCTGATGCAGAAGCCTGCATGAGAAAAATTTCCAGATTTGTTACGAGCTTGTAGCCAAGTAAAACAATAGATCATATATATGACATGTTTGGTAGGGACAATTGCACAGTACTAGACAACATTAAGGAAGAAAAAAAAAGTTAATATTCTTCTTTATTTATGTCTTCCAAGTATATAAAAAGCAATACTTACACGAAAGTATGAATGCAGAGCAGTGGTAAATGAAAATGGTTTCTCATCAGTATTTGTTATTCTTAATTCTGTTGAGATAGCATTTTTATCTAGAGTGACCTGACATAGTATAAAAAACACGAATTAGTAGCTTATCAAGTAATTGTCAAAATATATCTAAATGATGGCAGTATTTTAGGCATATCCCAGAGACTTACAATATGTATGAATAGGTAACTTACTAACCTTGTATAGAGCTAGAAAACTGTAATCCCACATGGAACGGCTGTATGGACTATCTTTCAGCTCAAGAGTGACAATGGGATTTCCTTCTACATTTTCGGAATTAACGAGGGACCAGTTAACATTCCTTGCAAATCCATGCTGTGAAACATGTAAACATTCTTAAGCAAGAGTTTGGCATGAAAGACTGATGACACCTTAAATTGTTGATAAATTCGTGGTGGCAGGCAGTGATCGACAAAAACATTGCCTGTCACTAATTATTGGTTCAAAGGAAAACCAGATTTTTTACAGTATTTATAGATTTAATTCAAGTACGATTTTTCTATTGCAGCAGCAAAGCCGTTAAGTTTATATGGCCTGTCTGCTTATGAAATAAAGAAAAATAACTAATATTGAGGCATCTTGTTTTTGTTCACTGGAAGTGCAAAGCGCATCAACCATGAAAGTTATTTGGGAAGGGTCCTTTGTAGAATGAATTTATTTTTATTTTTATTTTTATTCTTTTTAAGAAACAGAAATCTTGAAGGAGTATTAGAAAGTAAAGTAAGCCTATGTTTGACCCCTATTTTTTTCAAAAACTCATTTTCAATCCAAGATTCTCCCATAAAATAATTTTACACGGAAACCAAAAACTTTTCCTTATTTTTTAACCACACAATACTCCAAAAAAAAAATCACTATTCCAAAATATATTTTCCTAAAAAAATGGGGCTCAAATAGGGACTAAGTATAGTTACCTGCTGAATCGCTCCTGGTCCGAACTGGGGAAAACAATGAGGTATTCCTCCACTATAAAAAGGAACAAGGTAAAAATTATTGCCTTAAATGGTGATTTCATTATCTCAAATCTAAGCTAATGCATATCATGAAGACTAGTAAGTGGATGGGGAAGTGATTTCTAGATTTAGAAAATTGTAATATAGAGCAAAAAAAATTTTATTATTTTATTTATTATTATTATTATTTTTTATTTATTTATTTTTTTTTTGTGTGTGTATAAAATGGCAGGGAATACCTGATTGGTTTCTTTCCATTAAATACAGCATCTGGCCGGACAAAAAGAAGATCTTTGCTGGCCACTTTCCAGGATGTGATACAACCTCCAAATAAGTATATCTCTGCCTCACTGCAAAAATAATATCATTCAAGTTTGGTCTCATTTATTCAAGAGACAGCATGACATCTATTTTACATGTTCTCACATGGTCCCATTTACTGACTTTCAATTATGAAGAAAAATCACACGACGCTGACATTTTACAATTTCTGCCTTTATGTAGTGCAGAACGAAGTTCTCTTTGCTACTTAATGGAAGGAGAAAATGTGCAAGCTGTAAAACAATTTTGCAGAGTTGAAGAGTGACTTATAAAACCATAGGCATTATGGAAACAGTTAATTAAATCTTCATGCAACAGAGACAAGCTTTTGTTGGGCAACTTAAGCTATGAAGAAAAACATCATTTTACTGCAACAAAGGAATCCTGCTAGCACACGAGCTGATATGCTACATTCTGAGTAGCTCAAAGATTGCGAGTTTGATGCACATGAAATTACAAGTCCCTAGTAATACAAACGAAAATAAAACTTCAAAAAAACTTGCAACGTTGTTGCAAACTCATCTCAAATGCGGGTCACAAACTTGAATTTTGCCTAGAAACAATAAACACACACACACGCAGAGTTTGGGGGGNGGGGGGGGGCAATAGAATAGCTAGACCAATAGCAAAATCATTTCTCCTTATTTTTACCTTTTACAGTCTTAGGATATCATGTATAATTTTCCATAAAGTAGAACATAATTCATGGAAGAACAATTATGTACAATTACCTTTTCCATTCTGGCTCCTTGATCACGAAGTTTGAAATAGGTTCACTACTATATTCACTAAATAATTATAGAGACAGGAGGATGAGATTGTTAAGTATTCAGTCAACAGTGATTACTTCTACCTTACCACATTAGAATCAGAAATTGGTTTTCATTATTAATTCAACATAAAATAACATAAAAATTAAATAGATGATAAAAGTATTGAGATAATCTGGTAGAAAGAATGTTAGTTTATCATCACCATAATCTCACAGAAAGACCCTCGAACTAAAAATTCACAAACATAAACAAAATATACCTTCCATGAACAGATGTCAAATCAATCTTTTGTAAATTCCCCAAGCCTTGGGTAACTTTCACGTTATCCACGTTCACGCTTGCAGACGCCATTGCCACAGTTGAATATCTGTAAATAATTAAAAAAAAAAAAAAAAGGTCAAAATTGATGATTTTTGGGGAAATTCAATTGTGGGATGTGTGAATAATTGGATGTTTATTTACCGGTTGAGTCGGCGAGGTTTAGCTGAGGAAGTTAGGGGCGAGAAAGACGATATCAGTGACGTTGCCACCATCTGGATGAGACTGATTCTGTGTGTTTCTTTAGGAGTGAATAACTGTATGATGCACAACTGTTGATGATCTTTTTTTTTTTATTTTTTTATTTTTTTTTATCAGTATCCACCTTATAGCGACTAATCCTGAAATCTACGATCCAGCCCCTCTTCACGCAGATTAGGTCAACCGCAGGTTGTGCCCCAAACTAGCCAGGGTTCAAGAGCCCCTCTAACTGAACTATCAAAGTGTCGAGCAAATCAAACTCATGTATGCGCCTTGCCTTCCAAGGAGCTCCTGCCTCCCAGAAAATATTCTGCCTTCCAAGAGAAAGTTTTGACTTCCAATAGCCCCATGAATCGAACCCGCGACCTTTGAACTGTCCGTCTTAAAGAATATGCTTTGGATATTCTTGATTATTGGCGAATTGCGTGAAAACGACATTTTCTCCAGATTGAAATGAAAAATATCCAGTTTATTTTTTTTATTTTTTTTTACCAGATAAAGTCACAGGGATATTAACATTTTCACAATTGATCATTCATTAAAAAACTAAGGTATAATATGAAACTAATAAACTGTTAATTCTTCCATTAATTACAAATCGTTGCACTAAATTTTGATCACTGGATAAGTTTCACAAATTCATGTGACAATTAACCTGTAATCCTAATTCACGACAAAATAGTAAACATTTTGGTGAAATTTCGACCATTTGAAAGTATGTTTGTCCATATTTTAGTCTAGAAATCCAAATGACATATTGAGAGACTTGGATGACACTCCCATGTCAATTATACGTTAGTTTTAGTAAATCTAAGATCAATTGTAAAATCATTAATAACTTAAGATTCAAAAAACACTTTAACTATCAAGTTAGAATTTCACACAAAATTCAATGACAATTAATGAAATTAAAGAAAATACTTCTCTAAATGATGACGGTATTAGTGATTGCAACGAGGCGGGGCGGGGTGATAGCTTGCTCCGTTTGTCGCCACGTTTATTTTTATTATTATTTTATAATTTTATAATTTTTTATTTTTTCTCTTCGCGGGACGGGGATTTTTGTCATCCCTAGATGGTAACATTCATAACAATAATAATGATGATGATGATGATGATTGATACGAGTCGCTTTTCTAGTACTGTAAATCTTTCTCCTTTTTTGTCCTAAAAAATAAAATAGAAATTATTTGTCTTCTAAAAAATAAAATGGAAAATGTGTATACTCATAAATCAAGTTGGGACCTTTGTTGCTGGAAAGAATTTTTTTCCTCTAGAATGTTTTCTTTTACACATTCAGTACTTGCTGTTGTAAATGGAAAGTCCATTAAAATTTATTGGTGAATGATATTTGTACCCCTATAGCCCTAGAAATTAATGTCATTGTATCCCTGATTCTTACCTATAAATATAGGGCTTTAGTTTTCAATAATACACACAAAAGGTTTATTGAGTTTTCTCTATTCTCTTTTCTTCTCATTTTATAATACGTTATCAGCACGAAACTCTTAGAATGTAGTAATTTTTTTCATAATCATCTATCACGTATATCAAAATTAATTTGATAATACGTGAATTTTACATATACATATGTTGAATCTGCAATACGTGATCTCATCTTTCTCGATCATTATGTTTTCTTTGTACCTCTCTTTGAATTAATTAATATTTTTTTCCTTTACATCAATCCACGTGCATTTTTATGGAGATATATTTATATTAAATCAATTGATATGCATTAATTCATGTTCATATACCCTCCTTATATTTAGATTAGCCCTTTACGTTCTACACATGCTTATAATTTTTTGGTTTAATTGGTCAATGTTCTTTGTAAGCAAGTTTCAATTTCAGATCTCTATTTTGGCTGATTTCATATATATATATATATATATATATATATATATATATATATATATAATATGCAATTAACAAATAACTATACCCAACTCATCTTTTCTCTCAGATCCATTGGTTTATGCAAATTTCATGCCTTAATTGGTTAATACTAATTCAATTCTTTTAATTGCACATAATTAGAATTTCGTG